AGGAGTAGGGTTTGCTCTCTGTTTACATACAGTAGCTTGCCCTGTCAGTGTTGGTGGGGATGTTGTTTTCTCAATTTGTTTTTATTTTTTTATTTATTTATATTTATTAAGAATTTTCATATAATAAACAAATCAAAAGAAAAAAAAGAAAAAAGTCCAAAAAAAGAAAAAGAAAACTAAAGTTAAGGAATATATGACTTCTGACCTTCAACAGATAATTACAAACTTATTATCCCTCCTTCCTCTTAAATACTTTACAAATCTCCTCACCCCCTCATTTAGTCCGCATCTTGCTTAATCTTTGAATCCATCAATCATCAATTCTTTTTTTCTTCTTTCAGCAAAACATCCAGGTTTCCAATTTTTAAAAAACACTTTTGTTGTTTGTTCTTTGACCAAACAGGTCAGTTTCACCATTTCTGCAAGTTCTGACATTGTCACAATCCATTCCTCCACTGTGGGAATTTCATTATTCTTCCATCATTGTGCATACAATAGCCTTGCTGCAGTTACCTTATACAATATCAGTCTGCCATGAATCTTTTATAATTCATTATCCATAAGTCCCAATAAAAAGAGTTCTGGTTTCTTAGCAATATTAATCTTTAAGATTCTTTGCATCATTACATGAATTTGTATCCTAAATTTCTTAGCTTTCTCACAAGTCCACCATGCATGATAAAATATCTCCTCATGCTTTTCACATTTTCACATTTTCAACACTGGTTTCAAATACCTTTGTACATTTTTTATAAACATTTTCTCTTAAATTATGACACAGTGTAAATTTAATACCAGGTACCCACATTCTCTCTAAGTGTCCATCTATGTTATATATAAAATTTTGTTATTCAATCTTTCACCTGTTCTTCTGTTTCGAATCTTAAAAGTTTATACATTTTTGCTGTTACATGTTCATCATTTGTACATAATTCACTTTCAAATTCTGTTTTGTATTTTTCAATTCCAATTGTTTTTACCCATATTAAATCTTTATTTCAACTATACATATGAAAACCATTGAAAACTATGTCCTTTTGCTCTCTTGACTTCATCTTGATTTCTCCTTCATCCATAATAAGTCTTGATATGTTAACCATTTTTCTCTATATGTTGTTTTCTTCTACAGAATGCTTCCTGTGCTGAGGTCAATAAAAGTATCTTTAGGCATAGCCTGGGCTTGTATTTATTCCATAATCTCAACATGGCACTTCTCACATAGTGATTTTTAAAATCTACATTAACTTTATCATACCATAAAAAACCATGCCAACCAAATCTTCCAATTTTAACATTCTTTTATTTCTCAGCAAAAACCCATTCCTTCATCCAAATCAAACAACAGGCTCTGAAGTACAATTTAAGATTAGGTAGTCCTAGCTCTCCTCTTTCTTTTTCAGAGACAATTCTCAAATTGTTCTGGGTGAAATCATCCCAGGCAATCAATGGGCCTGTTATGCGATCCACCCAGAACCTCCCCGATGGGTTGTTCCAAGGCTGGGCTCATTAGCACCTATTCATATTAGAGAGACACCCACCCATGGAATCCCCATTTGCATATCACTTTTGTCCTACCCTCATCACTCTTGGCTGGGTAAGGAGAATCTGACCATGAATACCCTTCCTCCTCTCTGACATTGGGAAAAATACTATCTTGGGTAGCCAAATGTAAATGTGAGATCTGTTTGAGGAGCACCCCATTTCTTTCTGCGATGTTTGTGTTTCTCTTTCCTCTTCCTCTGTTTACTTCCATTCTCTCCCAGTAAGCTAGTCATGCTACTAATGTTGTTCTGACTCAAATAGGATTTCTAAGGCTATGTTCACATAATACACTGAACCACAATGCTCCTACATCTAGTCCAGCATGTTGTGCAAACTCAGCCCATGGAGTTACTTTATGGCTGAGTGTGTTGTGCTAACCTGAGAAGACTGAGTTCTATAAACTGTGATTTGGTTAACATGACTAAACCTCTTGTGTGAACATAGTCTAAGTGGCTTGGATCTATTGCCTTTCCCCCTTTGCCTCTTTAGGAATCTTTCTTCCCTTTCTGCCTTTAAATTGAACCAAAAATTATCATTCCAAAAAGGCAGAATTAAGAAGTAAATAAACATTATAACACATGTTTTTCCTGTGCATGCGAATGTTACATTTATGAGCAAGGACACAAAGTAATACTGATCCCAGCAAAGAATGAAGATCCATTCAGAGAATTGAAGGCTTATTGCCTATAAATCTTACTCAGTCCCCATTCTGATTTCTGCCTCTGAGGTTTTATCTTTTTATTTATTTCTCTTGTTCCTACAGCAATAAGAAAAATGAGCCTGTTGCTATAGCTAGAAGTTTCTTTTAAAAAAAGATTCTCAGCATAAAACCCTGCTCCTGATATTGATTTTGACATTTCTGTACAATCACGTAATACGCACAGCACTGAATGCTATTAGCTACAATAGCTAAAAATGAAATTTTCCTATGACATTCTTTTAATTATCAGGTACTGAAGTGAACAGTGTCCATGTAGGTGGCAGAACCTATCCAGCCTTGACTGATCTCAAATGTAAAAAAAAAAAAAAAAATCCTGGGAGATGTTCCCTACTCCTGCCAAGGAAACTGCATGGATGTGCCCATGAAGTCACCAGGATTTTTCTTTGTCATGGGAAGTGACTTCCTTGTGGGCTTTTGAAGGGTATTTCTGCCTGGTTGCTGCTGTTGCTGCTGTTGCTGCAAACCTTTCAACTGACCCAGCACATCAATACTTATATTCTTAATAAATAAGACACCAGACTATCCAGAAACATCTAACTGAGAGTTCTCTACCAGTGTTTATGATCCAGGCTAATTTTCTGAAGCCTTTTTCAATGCCTAGGTGCTATGCAGTTCTGCTGCAGGAAATCACCAGCATTGCAGTGTCTATGAGTGCTACTCCTTAAAAATTCAGGCTGCATCTCAACATAGCCATTCAGGATGTAGTGAGCATTTAATTACAATCCAATGTGGGTTATCAGCTAGTACAGCAGTTCACAGAATCAATCTGAAAAATGAAGCAGAACCTTCTCTTTGTGGCAGAGTTGAAAAAGAGGAAAAATAAAAGTGTGTACAGATGGGTGCCTGTGTGAATGAATGTTCCTGTTTATATTATGCTTGCTATTTTTAATTTCTATAATACAGTGCCAAAAGGATGTCATGAGGCTTAAGTGCTATGGCTTTCTGAAAGGTCAATGGAATTCTGTGATAAGAATCTCTACATCCCCACAGAAGTACATTCATCAAATTTATAGCAGGCTTCCAATCTAGTACACTTTAGTTGTGTGGACTACACATTCCATAATTTCCAGGGTTGGGAATTCTGAGATGTGGTGTAGTGCAGTACACCAGAAAAGCATCAAGTTGGAGATGACTGCTACTGTATATGTTAATAGAAAAGGAGTTTGCTAAGCATTAAGCCATCTATAGCCAAAATAAGGCCACAATGGGTCAAGAGGAAATTATCAGGAGTGGGAAGTTTTAAAAAAAAGCTTTATAGGGAGAAAAACAGCTTGCTCAGTGGCCACTCACTAGGTTCTTCCACACAGCATGTTATCCAGTGCCAGAGATGGCTGAATACTATGCTGCCCACACTTCTAACCACATTCTGACTTGGCAAGGAAGCAGAAGAGGGGCTCTCTTCATACAGAAGTGGAGGGAGGGCAGAGGTGGTGCGATGGGTAATGTCTGTGATGGTGCCAGTTCCTGGCAGCAGGAAACCCACAGACAACGGCTCTGTGGGATTGGAGAACTGGCAGCAAAGGAGCCCTTCTCCCCCAGTTCTCTCCCCCACCTTCTGCCACCCATGGATGGCAGGAGAAGGGTGGGGGAGCAGAAGCAGGAGAATGATTCTTTTGCTGCCAGTTCTCTCCTGCACTTTTAAGGAGGCACCCGGTTTGGAAAATGTCTGCATGGGATTTATACCTTGATCTTTATTAGGTGTTATCATATCCAGGCCACAAAATTCTGGAAGACTACAAGAGGGTAGCAAAGAAATACAGATCTAGTGGTAGCTGGAGTTCTGTAACTCAAATATAGCAGCCCTAACCCAATCTTTAGGATCATTATACCCAAGGCAAAGTCTGCAGAACTCCGCAAGTTGTTTTACAAAGTAAACGTTGAGGGCGTAAATGTTGTAATTCTGAGCTTGCATAGCAGTGCCATTGATTTAAGTGGGAACTATTTCCAGGTGGAAATAACTTCAGCAGTGGACAGTAGTAATTAGTGGCCTTGGCTGATCTTGAAAAAGCTAAATAGCTGAGAAACTGTCATTACCCGAATGGGAAACCACCAAGTAACCCCAGAGCTATAGGATAGACTAGAAAACTTGAAAACATCCTGGGCGAAGGCAGTGGTAAAGTACTCCCGCATTACAGCAAAAAAAAAAAAAAAGCATGAACGTTTCCATAAAATCAAGAGAAGTCGAGCTCGACTTGAAGGAATCTTTGTTACTTTACTAAATAATTTTGGAATTGAACAATAGCCGTATTCCACCGGAACAGCTCTTACATGATTGATATATTTACAGTACGTTGTTATTATTTCACGCGTTTGTATCCATTATTTAATTGCTCCATGAAGAAGCATACCCCTCCAAACTCGCCCCACCCCTTACAAAAACAAGCGCCCAACATTCCATTTCACGCTAGCGAGTCGGCGGGAAACAAAGGGGAAAACTACAGCTCCTGTCGTACTAGCCGGGTGCTGTCGTGAGAGCAACGCCGCCGGAAGTCGAGGCCTTAGTTTCGCTTTACGGCTTAAGCCGGAAGTGGTGCCGGAGGGCCGGTGTGTGCGGGGCCCTGTCGTTTGTTTGGCTGTGGACCTCCCTGCGTTGCGGCGGCGCGGCCTCCCCTCTCTCGGAGAGTTATGGACCGGAAAAAGAAGCCTCTGAACGTAACAGTCGGTTCGGTGAGCAGCAGAGGGGGAACGGGCGGGCTTTCAGAGCGGCTGTGGAGTCCTTGGGGATCTCCGGGCTTGGTTGTTTTCTTGCAAACGTTTTCTCGCGACTTTGGAGATCTTTTTTTCCCCCAGAGTGAAAAGGTAGAACTACGTAAGTCTAGTGGTATAAGACGCTCACTGTTTGTATTCTTGTGTAGACCGCAAATCTTGCATTATGTCGTGCTTTTCTACCCTCCTCCCCCACCCCATCTCCTTTAAAATTCACACTCCGTTGCTAAAGATTGAGTTTGTTTTTTCTCCTTTCGTTACTCCTATTTTAGCTGGTAGATTTGAAAGCTGAACTGTTCCGAAAGCAGGAAGAATTCAAAAAAGAGAAACTTCTGAAAGATGCTGGAGTCCCCGTAAAGCCCAAAACAGTAAATAAGGTAGGGTTTGTTAATAGCATTTAGATTTCTTATCTCTGTTTGAGGATTCAACCACAGGATTCTTCCCATTCTTCTAAATGCATTCACTCTTCCTTCATATTTGATTTTCAGTCATTCTTTCTACATGATGAAACCTCTCAGTATATTATTTGTACTCACTTAGTTTTGTATTCAGTCCACATTTATTCAGCATCCATTTATTCTTGGCCCTATCTCTTGTTTTACTGCACATCTTTCTTAAGTAACATATTCAGCTTTTTTTTTTTGCACTAACAACATTTATTTCAGTTCTATTCTTTGAAATATTGATACAAATTATAAGCACAGCTCTGCAGTTATCTGCAAATTAGATTCAAGAACAGCTATATAACTTGTGTGAAATCTTATTGTTACAGAAACCAAGCATTTGGACTAAGCAGAACAAAGGTGTTTCAGATCGAGCTGAAAAAGATGCCGAGCAGAAGATAGAGGAGCAGCAAACTCTGGATAAATCAAGGTGATTCACCTCTGAGAAAAGCAGACTTACTAAATCTTGTAAATAAGATTATAAAGAAAATATGGTGTAACTTGTCTACAAACCCCATACGACGCAGCATTGTGTTACATTATGAACCAGCATATCCAGAATGGTTCTGCCTTCTTGGTAAGAGCATCAAGGTAGGTCCTGTCACTGCAAATAGAGAAAAGAATGGAGCCAAAAAGCAGGCTTTGACATTCTGGAACAGATCCCAGAAATAAGACTGCTGCATTTGCTCTTGGCATTTTGGAAAATCCTGAAGAATCTCCTTTTTAAGCAGGCATTAGATAAGAGTTGAGGGTAACTAAACAGCCAATTTTTTAGTTATGTTATGCTGTTTTGAGGGCACTGAGCTGTAATTTATGAACTGTTTTGTTTTTCTTATTAATCAACCAGAGTGGACTGAGCAATATAATTTTTTAATTAGTAGAATAAACAGGATCAGGCATCTCAAGGGTTATGTTGTATATTGCCTATTTTATGACTGACTGCTTTTGGATTGAATGATCCTGAATGTCAGTAATATCCCATTTTAGAATGCCCAGGGTTATGGTGATAATTGTACTTGCCAGTGAAACTATATTTGTATCTTGGATATCAGACCTCCCTTCCAGTCCAGGATACAGCTAATCTAAAGAATGAGAATCCAAGAGCTCTGGTTTATAGTATTTATTAGAAGGAAGATAAAAAATTTTAACACAAGAATTTCAGTGAATATTCAGCTTTCAGATGAGACCCTTAGAGGCAATTTCGGGCTGGAGAATTCCTAAATTGCTTCCTAAATTGCTCATTTTTTCTTCTTTTTCCACTTGTTCTCTGTTTTGATAACCATCACACTGAAAGATAAAATGTATTTGCTATTTGCACTAGAGGCCAGTGTAACTGGATCATATCATAAACCATTATGATTTTTGAGAGGACCATAAACTTTATACACTAAAAATCACATACAGTAATAGATTTTTGGAGGTTTTGTTGTCTTTCCAAATACAGTCTGTACTTATTATGGGAACTAGTTTTCATGTAGTCAGAAGCAAACAGTTTGATACCAGATCTGGCTATTACCAAAACAAGGAACAGATACAAATGGACACTTCTATCAAAGAGAGAATCACTTTTAGCCCTCTACTTAAAGGGGGCAAGGAAAGAAGCGCAGGAATTTGAACAGTTATTGCAATTTGCATTTGATACTCAGCAGTCATTAGAATTCTTTCAGAATGTCTTCTTAGCTTCTCTGCAGTAAATGAAATGTTCTTATACCCTTGTGTGCCTGTTTATCTATTCCAGTCCAGTTTAAGCCTGACACTTATCTCCCTTCTCTCTCATCTTCCTTTTCCTGTGATCGTTTTGAAACAACTTACTTGAAGTGGACAAGCCACTTAATTAAAAGTAATAGTATTAAAGAGAGAAAAGGAACAAGATGGTGGCTTTGATCAAATGAATATACACATGCAGGAGAGAGGACAGGGTTCCTTTTGTTTCTGCTCATTGAATATGGTTTTAAATCATCTCAACAATGCTGTTTTTTATATTGGACTTTGACTGATAAATTGTTGGGCCTTATGAGAAACATTCATTGCTTAATTTATTTTCAGAATTACTTCCAGACAATCATTCTGAATAATTCTCAAATGTGTGCATACCTTTGAGTATATGGAGGATGTACAGGCACATTTGTAATGATTCAGTCATAGTCCCAAGGATGGAAATGTGGCTCTGAAATGGTGGAAAAACACTTTTGGGTTGTCTCCATGGGGTTGCAGACATGCTTATCACTGAGACCAGTTTAAAACTACTTTGAGAGAAGGCAATCTTGACAGCATGTAGTGGTGTTAGGTTATATTGTCCCATGTTCTGTGTGGCAAAAAGACTCAGTGCTATGAAATATGAACTAAAAGTGGTATATTATTGTTTTTAGGCAGAAACTGGAAGAGAAAGCACGTCTGTATGAAAAAATGACCAAGGGAGATTTTCCAGGTGAACACCATTAGATTTCTTGGGAGTGTATGTGAAACATTTATCAATCAAAGGCTCTACTATAAAATGCTGTTATGAGTAATAAACACTCAGTAATTCTTATTTCCAAATAGGCCTGTCTAGGGTGGCAGTAAAAGTGTGAGTCTTGTCTGCTGCTGTTAGCACTTTTCTTATGAAAAGAATAGGTCTTTCTCATTGAAATCACAATTTTGTCCTAAGTTTCTTTGACATTAAGCTCTAGAAAACTGCAGTTCCTAAAGGGAAAGCTTGTATTTCTACATCTGTAGACAATGCCATTTGTCAAGGTAGATGTTTTTGCCCTCTTCCTGAAAACTTTAGGCCAGTACTGGTGGCTTTTTCTTTGTGGGGATTCCATTCCAGCCAAGCAACTCTGGATAATGATACAGCAAATGATGAGTCTGGGACATAGGCATTCTTCCATGAGTATACAGTCACTTTTCTCAACAGTCCAAGCTTAATATAGCCAGTGTTCTGAAATATTCCACTTTCCTCTTTTTATTGTATTTAATTATGCAGAAGTGCTAATTGAGTTTCATTTAGCAAAGTGTTTTGTTTTTCCTGTAAACCTTCCATGTAGTCACAGAATACAATTGTTTCTGCTTCAGCCCTGCTTGAATGTCTCTTATGCAAAGACGTTCCTGAATTCCTTTCAAGAGTCCCAAACAAGTTTGGCACTCTTTTCCATTTGGTGAGAGCACTCTAAACCTGACAAGATTTTGCTGTGCAGCTAATCTTAGAACAATTAGGACAAGGTTGGGGATTACCTGGGTTTAGCCTATATGTTCCCCTTGGTCTAATTTCAGAAGTTCTATGAAGGAAATAGTGCTAATCTTTTACAACAGCAATCTTTCCCATTCCCAGTAGGAAAAGTTAAAGAAGGTAGCATCTTTCTGTCCTGATTGTGAATTTCCAGATATGCAGGGCTCTTATGCATGTTCATAGTCTTCTGTGTAATCTCAAAATTTGCTGCAGAAGATTGGAAAGCCTCCAAAAAAAGGCTTAAGGGAAGGAATAAATATGTGAAAAATCCCTTTGTGCAACACTGGATTTCTCCCAAGAATTCAAATTGTACTGCCTTTCTGTAAAACAACAACAGCAACAAAAACAGGGAAAGGATATTTTAGAAACTACTTTTTATTCACTCTTAAACCTTGAAATGACTGTATCTAAGAAAAAAGTATGCTAAAATTGTTATTCATGAACCAGATACTCGCATGTTTGACTAGATATGGCATATCGGTGACTCTTGTCTGTAGAACCTAAATGCTTTTCAGCTGGCACACACATAGTTACATTTACAGTACAGTGGTACCTCTAGTTACGAAGACCCCTCCTTACGAATTTTTCAAGATACGACCAGCTCCGGCCCCAAAAATTTACCTCTACTTGCGAACTCCGCCTCTACTTACGAACTGGATCTGCGGCCATTTTCCCTGCTGCCACGTGGTCGCAGCTTCCTGTGGGCAAAATCGCGGTAGCAAGGAGACATTCAGTGAGGCTTGTGGTGTGTTTTGTGGCGTTTGGAAGGTTTTTGAGGTTTAAAAATAAAATGCA